GTTTGGATATGGGTAGAAATTGCTGAACTGTTGTTATAGAGGTGAATACTACACGGGCTAGTGTTATAGGAGACTGATTTCCCAGGTATAGACTACAAAACAAGTACAGCTAGCATCAGCAGAGTCTAAAGCTATTAATGGGTGGCACGTTCTTCATCAGATAGTGACTGACCCAAAAAAGGGTGATGTTATTTTAGATTCTGTATGAGTAAAGGAAGGACTGACTGCAAGCGCAGAAGAAAAAGCAGTCATGGAGCTTAATGTGCTCAGATCTGGAGACCGAATAGCCACGGTGACAAGGAGTTGCTAGAGTTACGTATTGTCTATTACAAACAAACCACAGATGAGGTTCTGCTATGTTTCAGGTAAGCTTTGCTAGTAGCAAGAGGATGCATTTGTACCATTGTACCCCACTGATTTGTCGTCTGGAATACAATATACTGGTTTGACTATATTCCAAAGAGAATGAACATGAAATTGGGACAGGTGCAGGAATGGGTTATTCAAGTGACTGTGGAGTCAAGAGCTTGGCTCAAACACTCCAGTGACATGCACTGAGAAGGGACTTAACTGCTGTCTAAAAATATCCTGAGGTAGATCTGAATGGGAAATAGTTTTATAGCTAGTGTTAAGCATAAACTGACGAGAAATAAATGTAGGTCCTAACCATCAGGACAAGTAGGCTTCCAAACCAGAGGAGCACCAAAGGCAAAAGCTTGAAAAAAGCAATTTTCTAGAAGAAGCTACATGGTTTGGTTGTCTGGAATAGCAGGAGACTCAGTGTCAGTGGCTCAGGAGTTACCTTTTACCCCCATACCCCTGTAATCTTTGGAGGCTCCATTCCTGAGATGAATCATAGACTCATGGAATAGTTTGGGTTGGAAGGGACCTTCAAAGGTCATCTCATCCCGCAATGAGCAGGGACATCTTCGACAAGATCAGGTTGCCCAGAACCACATCCAGCCTGGATGAAGGCTACGTGCATAGGTTTTTCTCTTAGCCTTGAGTTCACAGCAGGCTCAGGGTCTCGGGGAGGATTTCCCAAAGAATTCAATGGAAGTTGTGAGCAGAGAGAGGCTGCTGGCATTTTTCACATTGTTTATCTTATTCCGAATCCAGCTATGAAGCAAACACATAACATTCCAGCCTCTACTCCTGTATTACTCCCTCAACCAAAACGCCTATTGACATCAATGGGAGCCCTGTCCAAGTGAAGACAGCAGGATGAGGCCTGACATCTTTCCTTCCACCCAGCTGGAAAATACTACTAATGATGATCATTTTTTAAGTCCTTATAGTGGTTCTTCTTTTGAAAAGTTAAAATAACATGGTGCTGTGACTAGAGAGTTACAAGGGAAAGTGCATCAGGAATGCAATATTGTTTCCAGATGTACAGTGTCATAAAGAATTTTTTCCACACTTGGAATGGTAACAGGAATTTTTTGAGAGAGATCATTTACACAGCGATGAGATACGTTACATGTAAGTAAATGCCTGTATGCCTGGAATGTTTGTTCCATATGTCTAAATAGGTGTCTATGAGTGATACAGCTTTTATGTACATGTGCTGATGTGTATTTACTTGCATATACGTGATTTGAAGAGAAACATAGTTTAGAATATAGAAGTACTGGTATGATGGATTGATGGGGAAGGAAAAATTGTAGTACCCAGGTAAAGGTTTGTTAAGAAATACACCACTTTGTGCAGAGAAGTGGAAGAGGGGCAGCGCAGCTCAGAGAACCTGAGTTTAACGTGCCGAAGACAGTTTGAATGTCATTGCAGGCGAACCCTCATTGTGGTTGTTGAGCAGGGATTTCATTACAGAAATCCACCTGGGAAACGAAGATAATGTGGAGATACAGCACATGCATTTCTCCAGTTCTGCTGGGGAATCATTTCATGTCTGAGGCTTCCTAGCTAACAACAAGACTCCTGCAGGTTTGCAGAGAGAATCTTGAGAACTGCTGAAAGCACCACTTAGAAGCCTGGAACTCCTTCACTCTTCCTGGAGATGGAACCTCCACTGGATGGTGCTTGATTGGTTGTCCTCTGAAACTCCAGGGGAGGTGAGGGGTTGATCCAGCTGTTGGGCAGCACAAAATCTTTAGTCTTTATGCTGTCTCTGTCAAATTTGGCCTTCAGCTACAATTATTGGAATCCGTGGCCTCTCTATCAGATTTTGATGTTCTCAGGTCATTCCCCGAGGATTCCATTTTGCATTATCTATGGATTTTAGGTAAAAGACCATCAACTGAATGGGCACGGAAGCCAAATTATCATAGCCAAGAAGTAGTGCCATCAGACTGGGATAAGAGAAAGCACCAAAATGATTTGCCAGTAATTTGCCAGTGCTGTGGACAAATGTGAGACTTTAAGTGTCCATGGAAGTTTGCACATCACCTTTCATCGGCACTAAATACAGGTTCTTTTAAACAAAAAGCCTGGAATGTTTTATGGTGTTAAGAGAACAAGTGTTATTGATAAATACATGTTCAGAAGGGTATTGGCAAAAATGCATAGAAATGGTTAACAAGGTAATGGTAAGAAATGTTGACCTTGATTTGTTTAGCTAAGATGTAAAGATTTTTGAAGGTCAAAGGTGTTCTTGTGTAGTGTTTTGGAGTCTAACTGTGTCTGACCCTCTAACATTAAGCTGCTGTGGCCTGCAGTTTTGAAGAGTGAAGCAAACCAGGGGGAAAGAGAGAAGGGGGAGAGAACAGGAAATGGAGTGAGGTGTTTCAGGAAGTTGTCAGGAGTTGACTGATTGATTCCAGATGGAAAGGGTCACCCTTCATGACCCAGGAAATACTCACTGGGGGAAAGCAGTTGGCTTGTGAAAGGGAAGGGCCTGGGAGTTAGAGACCATAGTGGAATGCACATTCCTCTTCCTTTTATCCATAAAACATTGGGTTTTAATCTTCAAGTATAAAACAATTGGATTGTCATGTTCATCGGGCAAGGGGGAATGACTGGAGCAAAGTGAAGAAGTTCAGTAATTTTTATGTCCATAATCTCATGGTGTCCTTACTCCACATCGTTGATAATGAGTTGGCTAGCAGTGCTGTAGCAGTTCACAAAGGTCTCTGCTGAATTTCAACAGTACCTTAGAGACTATGGCTCACAAGGTCCAAAACTGCTGCGAACGTTCAGGTCCAGGTCTGAACTTTGCATTTAGTCCTGTCCCCAAGAACACTGCAGTTACTTACCCCAGGTCCCAACCCGTGAATTGCCAAGTGACTTTGACCCTCCTGTGATGAATGGGAGAGGTGGATAAAAATGGAACCACTCATGGAGAGAGGTTTAAAAGTGTCTCTTCCATCCCTGCTGGCTGAGAGGATGGGGGATGCTCAGGACTTACCTTCTAAGCAGCGCTGTTACTCACGCTGCGGGGATCTCTACAACTCGTACCCGAATATGGCTCGTGTGTTGTGCACAACTTTTACACCCAAATGGTTACTCAAACAGGGAATGTGTATACTTGCAGCCTGCATGTATTATAAAGATCTCATCCCGAGAGCATGTGGGTGTGTGTGCACTGTACTTGTGTATGTGAGCCGAGATATGTATATGTTATATAGTGTAACTGTATATACATGATATACTTTTTATTTACATTTGGTTACAATTTAAACACTTGTCGTAAATATTTCAGACACTGGAATAATTCAGGTCTATTCCCCTGTTGCCACAGTGTGCTCTGGGCTGGCCAGTGGGAGATTAAAATTTATTTCCATTGTTTAAGGGAAAATAATGAAGTGCATCTGAGTGGGTTCAGCTATGTCATGCGGGAAGCGTTCCCTTTGGATGGGAGTCTCACTCCACCCAAATGTGCAATGATGAAATCAGTTGGCACACAAAAGCAACACATTTTGTGACAAGAATGCTTGAGAAGTGTAAGAGTACAGTATGACAAGAGCCTTTTGGAATGAATTAAATTTGTCTCAAGAAAGTAAGTGTTCTTTAAGCTAGCAGAACCCCGTAGAGGGCAAAGTTTCTCCTGCTATATGCTGAATGTAGTTTGATCAACAATTAGAGCTTGACGTTCTCCTACCTAGACTGTGACAGCTACATCCGTGAAAACTGATGAACACACCCAGGGTTGGAGTCTCCAGAGCTGTGAATTACTGTGGCTGTGTGGCAGCTGAATGGAGTTCAGCTGATTTGCACTAATGGTTGAAACCTGAAAGTTTCACCAAGATGCTGCTTCTTTCAGGAGTTAAAACACATTTTGATTGGGTTTTCCTGAAAGTTCATGATTTAAAGGCACTTATATTTCTGGATTTATAAGACTTACACCTTTGGATGTTTTATCGTGAAAGAAAACTGAGTGGGATTAATTAACATACACAGTTACTCCCTCTAAGAATTGATACACTACTGGAACCCAGCAACGTGGACGTTAAGGTTTAGAAACTGCACCTTGATGTGGAGTCCTTGGGGCTCAGGTGATTTTCAGGAGGCTCTAAGCACACGAATGTCAAACCCCAGACGTGACCCAAGGTGCTGTTTTCACATAGTAGGAGTTTGCATTTTGTTCAGTCAATGGAGACCTCTATTTTTAAAGCAGATGCAGATCCATTTGCATGTGAGCGAAGTACAGCAGATGGCTCAGAATCTGCCTGTGTGTATCAGAGGGCACATTGCTGTGGTGCTCTGCAGCCTGCCCCCCTGGTTGGTATATTCAGCCCTCTTTGCCATCAGCTATGCTACAGTGCATCATAGGGAACGAGATTTAGGGCCATCTGCAGTAGCTGGTTCATTATACAGTAAGGACTTTATATGGCCCTTAGGATGCTGTATTAAATGGAATTAATGCCTAGAATGAAGACTGGAAATATTTTCTCCCCTTCTTGTTGGGGAATAAACCCTGCAGGACATGATGCCGTTTTACAAACAGAACAGGGTTTTAACTCAAGTGAATAATTCATATTTCACAAGTGGAATTTCAAAGCACATTATTTACCTGCCTCCTTTCTCTTCCCTTTCTAAACTTGTAGGTTGTGCTGTCAACAACAGTGAATGTCGATGGGCACGTGCTGGCAGTGTCTGACAACATGTTTGTTCACAACAACTCCAAGCATGGCCGGAGAGCAAGGAGACTTGACCCCTCAGAAGGTAGGATGTTTGTATGAAGAACAGTCCACAGATGTGAAAGCATATTACCCATTCTTCAAATTTCTATTTGTTTTCAGGAGGCAAGGGGAGCTAAGGGGGAACTACAGAACCTCAGGGGGGTTAGAGAAGGAAGAGGCAGGAAAACATTGTCTACTGCATGCAAAATATGATCTTCTTTACATCTAAGAGACTCCCCCTCCCCCCAGTTTATTAATTAGCGTGTACTGCAGAGCTGAAAAACACAGAAACACAAAGTATTATCTGAATTTCAGGCTTCTCGTTCAGCTGGGATAGATTTGATTTCAGGCAAATTAGGCAACATGACATCTTAGTTAAACAGAACTGCTGCAGCACAAGATGTGTATGAAAAAGTGTCACCAGTTCCCTTAAACAAACTATGTGCAAAGCATAACAATGCACAGAAGGAGACTGACACTAATTGATTTTAGTTTGTTTGGCTAAGCAAGGCTCATGGCCGGCTGCAGGATGGGTTTTGGACTATATTAAAGCAATTACAAATACTTGTATCTGTTAAGCTTCAAACCGGTTGGCCCCTCCTTTCCCCCTCCCCATGCACTCATTCCCAGTGCATTCCACCTCGCTCACGCAGACACTAAGCTGGAAACTGCTATCTGTGTCTCCTTTTCCCTCCCCTGCAGCTAGTGAAAGTGAGAAGAGCTGGTGATGTTAATAGAAAAGACAAGAAAGGATATTATTTCATTATAATGTTTTGCTGCCCCACTTCTTAACTGTGCCCTGTATCAACCTAAAAGAAGAATTAATGAACTGGAAGAAAATGATTGAATCAGTAAAGAATTCAGAGTGGTGTTAATTCTCCCCCAGCGGGCAGTGAAATGGTAGAAGGAAAATCCCAGGATTCCTTGCCTAGGAAGCCATCCAGTTTTTCCTTGACTGATTGGATGTGATTGACTGGCTGTTCAAAGGAGTCTCGTGTTTTTGGAGCACTGCCAAAGTTCCCCTCCACCTCTGACCCTGTCAACATTGGGAATGGAGTGATGGATTGACTTTGGTTATGGCCTGGAAACCATATTGGGTTCCTGATGGGATGTATAGTCCAGAGGCCTTGAACATATGGAAGAGAGAAGGGGGAAGAAAAAAATCTACTCTATAAAATCAAGAAATTGTCTCCTGGTAGGAATTGGAGGAAACATTTGATATTCCCATATCTTTTTTTACCCATTGATGAACTTAATAAATCTAATCTCTCTCTCCTTCCACAGGGTTTTTGTGTGATCATATGCTAATGAATGGGGTGGTTTTTAAACAGCCTCTGCACAATCATTTAAGTGTTTCTCTTTTCCACCCACTACAGTTGGCCTATTAGGCTTTAATGACACAAAGTTAAGTGCCAGTAATGAATAGGCAAGTCGTTAACACCAGCAAGGCAGAAAACACGCTTTCATTTCTTTATGTATTTGTTTGTGTATTGATTTGTTGGGCTTCATGGAATGGTAAAGCAGCCTTCATGGGTGAATGGCTGGAGGGCCTTCCTGCAAGGGTTTATACCTACTGCTGCAGTCTCCAATCTGAGTGGGAAAACAGCCCTATAACCTGATGCTCTGTTGTCCTTTTTGTTCTGTTCAGCCACACCGTGCATCAAAGCAATCAGCCCCAGTGAGGGCTGGACTACAGGTGGAGCAATGGTCATCATCATCGGAGACAACTTCTTTGATGGGCTGCAAGTTGTGTTTGGGACCATGCTTGTATGGAGTGAGGTAGGTAGAGGTGCCTCCCTACTGCTAAAATTGTTAGTGGGAATTAATTAACTCCTGTTCTAATAATGGGATGAAAATTGTGGTGTGTGTTGTGGTTTAAGCCCAGTTCACACACTGTGAACCCAGGACAGTATGTAAGGTGGGGTGTATAAGCCTGTGTGAAGGAAATCTATGGGACAAGTTTTCTCTGTGGAACTCCTTGCTGTGTGGTACTACTGAAGCCAGCTGCTCAGTAATACCCAGAACGGAACGGAGCAGTTCTAGATGTCTGGAGACAGTAAAGGTAACTAAAGTAAGAAAGAAAGGATTGGAGTTTGAGAAGGAGGAAGAATTCCCTCTGGGTCCAGAAGTAAGGCAGCAGTTAACCAGTCAGCATAAGCAGTACAATTTTCCTGGTGACAGTTTATCCTAAAATGAATCTTTCTCTATTGAAGGTGAGGAACTAGACCAAATAGAACACTTTTGCCTGATCCGTGGTGTCTCCATTACAGCAATAAGCAATGCATTTACTCATAAAGCGTGTTTGGAGGGTGGAAAGTGAAAGCAAGGGATTAACACAGACGTGTTGTAATCGTGCCTCTCCTTTTGTTACTTCCCAGCTGATCACGCCTCATGCCATCCGAGTTCAGACACCTCCACGTCACATTCCCGGCGTGGTTGAAGTGACATTATCATACAAATCCAAACAGTTTTGCAAGGGTGCACCAGGCAGGTTTATTTACACAGGTAGGTGGTTGTGATTTACGCTGGAGGAGCTCGGGGCCCTTTCCTTTGGTAATCAGTATTGACAACTCTCTGCTTGCTTGCTTTATTTATTTAGCCTCTTGCTGGTTGAAGGCCGCTCGGCTGGTTGTGACATTTGGACGTGTGAGGAGATAGGTTCATTGTTGTGCAGGGCTGGTACTACACATGTTAATATTTTTTCCAGATTAGAGCCATGCTGTTACGATATGGGTCTGCCTATAGGTATGTTGAGTGTACAGGAGCACAGTAGCATTGTTCTGTATACTGGAAGATGTTTTATTTATAACAGGATTTATTTTACATTTCCCTCTCACTGGGGGTAACCTTTAATTTTCAGGATAATCCCAAAGGACAAGGAAAGCATCTTGTATCGAGTGAAGCCAATGAGCTGAGTGGAAAATAAATCTGTTGGGGGTTATTTCATTCTTAAATGGATGATCAACATCTTTAGTGCCCTATATTCACCTCTGCTGGCAGAGGAACAGTACCTATAGATCTGAAAAGAAGAAATCAGATGTGCCCAGATGACCATCTCATTGAACTGTCGATACCAGTAGTACCAGTCGTGGCATACATTGTATACGTTACAGTTTCTGGAGCCTGTTAAGCATGACTGGAGAAAAACGGTGTGCTGAGCTCTGAAGGATGGATTTATATTTAAATTGAACGACTCGTTCCCACCAAATCGTAGCCAGATTTCTCAAAATGGAAGGGTTGATTTATTTTTTTGAAGCCAAACAATCCTCTTTCTATGGACTTTCTGTATTGTCAAAATTTAAATCATAATTTAACTCAAAAATAATAGTGAAGGTCCAAGATTTTTGTTATTAAAAATTTGAAGGTAAAAGCTTCATCACTTGTGAAGTGAATTAGATTTTTTCCAAAAGTGGAAAAATGTGAATGAAAATCTTGACAGTTCAGGACTTGAGAAAGAACCAATTTGTGAGGATCCTGGTACTGTCTTATGCTGCTTTGTATCCCCTTTATTAGTAGACATTCTCTAGTTATTATTACAGATTTAAACGTAAAGTTCTTCTGTGCCGTTTTCTGCTTCTGAAGGCTTGTGTCTTCAGCACAAGCATTACTTTGCGCTCTTGGTACCTGTGCTGAAAGAGGCTTAGGACTGGAGCGACACAGAGATGTGTAATAGGAATGTGCATTTCTCTGTGAAGAAAAGTCATCTTATTAATGTAAAGCTGTTGTAAGTGCAAGACTTATTTGTACCATCTAGGGGGGACTAAAGTCAGACTGCAGTGCAGTGCTTTAACACTGACTTAATTAGAGTGCTTCCTCCAGAAAGGACATAAAGACACATGTAGGTGCTATCACAAGGGAATAGAGTTAAATATACTGTTTTAGTGCTGGTACTGGCATGGGGATACAGATCTGTTACTGTTCTCTGAGGAGCGAGTGGGTGCTTCCTGCCACATGTTACAAAACAGCATTTCACAGAAGGTGCCGAGCTGTTAGTGTGAGGGTGGAACAGGCAACTTCTCAATCTGCCCATGGAGGAGCCTGCGGTCCTCCTGCCATGGCAGGCAAAACGATAAACACAGCTATTAGGTGCAGCCTCACCTGTGCCATGAATTCCCCAGGTTGTTGCTGCTAATAGCAGTAAAAACAACTTCTGAGCTATGAAAATAACATGGTGACGTTTTCTTCCTTGCTGTGGCTGAAACCTGCTGGGAACAAGTGCATTGATTTTAACCCAGGCAAGCCGCGCGCAGGCAGTCAGGATCCTTCTGCCTGGGTGTCTTCCTCCGAACTTTCACAGCAGCTTTTGAACCTCGTAACCAATTTCTGTCAGGTTTTAGCAGACAGGTAGGAGCGTCAAAGGTGCTCTCTTGTGAAAATGGTAAGAGAGAGCTGAAAGAAAGGGTGAAGAGCTCAAGCATGTTATTAGGCAGCAGAGAAGCTACCAGAAGACAGCCTCAGGAAACAAGGTTGTTTAAATGCCACTGCCCTCAGAACGCATGTGTGTATCCATAGCGCCCTGTAAAACGCACGCAGTAGCAGCAGAGAGGTGCAGCCGTTTCTTGGGTAGAGTGTAGCAGACAAATAGCACATCAAATACCAAAGAGGAAGCTTTACTAGATTTATAACTATTGGTAATACCAGTTACCTGATTGGTAACAAGGGAAACTTATTAGTTTAATAACAAAAACGTGTGAAATCCTGCAAACTAAGAGCATGGGAAGATGTAGTTCTGTCACAACTAGGAACAGCAACAGCTGGAGCCCTGGTGCTATCAGTGTCGTGTTGTATTAAGTCCTTTATTAACGGCCAAGAGAAAACCTCAGATGACAAGCACAAAGGGTCAAGTCATGAGTAGCTTTTGAGTAGCTGCCTATAGGTACTTCCCAGGTATAACAAGAATAACTATTCATAGAAAACCAAACCTCAGAGGGTTCATCAGGGTCCCAATGCATCAGATGTGGGCAACCAGTTTACAGACAGACACGTGCTTCCATTGCCACAGCACAATGAGAGATGAACCGCTTGCCTGTGGTTATACAGGGAAGCTGAAAGGTAGACAGGGAACTAAATCTGTTGGGTTCTACTCATATCCTTTAATCACCAGAACCCCAATACTCTTCTAAAATATGGAAACAGAAAACCAGTGATCTTTGTACTGCGTTTATCTGCCTGCACCCTTGATACTTAATATACAGTCAACTATTAATGTTTCCGATTCTTCCTTTTTAAAGAATCACAGTAAGACAGGTTTTAGGAAGAAGAAAATGCTAAACTGTTGAAAAGATGAATATAAAAATGGGATATAAATTTCAAGGTATGTCACAGTGGAGCTGTTACAGGAGTTCATATGTGTCCTGTGATGTGTATTTCTAATCGGCTCCTTGCGCGGTGTGCTGTGCTAGCACGGGGCTGTCAGCATTCCCACTCCTCAGTACTATCATTCAGCCATCAAATTCCTCTCATCACCAAAATGTGATGTGTGGGCTTTTCCATAAGGTTCCCAGATGGAAAACTTCTATGAGAGTGAGTGAAGCCAACAGGATTCTGTGGACATCTAACGGTGTACGAGAGAGCACAGCAAAAAGCTAGAGAAGTGCCTTGTTAGATGTTAATGGCAGCTGTGAACCAACTTACATGCTTTAGTAGTTCTGTATATACTTAAAGTGAGAGATAAAAGGTCTAGTTTTAAATCACCCCAACTAAACGTGTAGTCCCTGTGTGCACCTTAATCAGGTGCGCACACAGGTTACACACACACACCCCCACCCCGGTCTGAATTGCTGTTCTTTCATCAGCTGTTCCTAAAATAATAAAGCATTTTCTCTCTGCTGCTAATCCAGCAGTAGCCTCATATTCTGCTTTTAATACTACACAAATTCAGTGCTCTGCTGCTGTAAGTAGTTCCATTATAGTTCCCTTGACTTAATAACGCTTACATCAGCTTATGCCAGCTGAGGATATGTCTCGTAGGCTTTCATATCTCAAGTTTGATCACAGCTCGGCATTTACTTTGTCACAGAGATGCTAACCTGGAAATGTGTATATCAGGGAGATTTTGAACATAATTTTCCTTGCTGAGCAGAAATCCTCCAGGGGTTACCTTGTCAGAGCAATGCAATATAAAATAATCTGTAGGATATGTTGGACTCCCGGTTGTACTGTGTCAGTCTCTGTGCCAGGCACCAAGGGTAGGAGGGTACTGGCTTGCTAAAGCTTGTAAGTAGATCTGAGAAGGTCTTGTTACCTGCTTGTGGGAAACAACACTTACAAGGGTGCAGTGAGCTCTACAAATTGGAAGAGCAAGTTCGTGTGGCCAGAACACAACTGATGTGACAGAAAGCATTTGCTCTACCACTGCTTTAGCCTATGAAAGACACACACAACAGGGGACAACGCCACGCTGGGAGGGAGTGGGGTGTCTGGAAAGCTGTTACCAACACAGGAGGTAGAACACAGGATGGGGCAGCATGCTTCTAGCAGCGTCCTTCCCACCCTAGACCGCAATGTACCCCTCGGAGTAGCCTGACCAGTGAGTAGGTACCTCCCAAGCCCAGGATTAGTGTGATTATAGGAAGTGAGCTTCTGGAGCTGGCTACACGGAAAGGTTTTATTCTGTTGGGTGAATACCAGGCATCTCTTCACTGTTGGCTTCGGTGAAGGTGCTCACTAGTGAAAGGTGGAATTCAGGCTTTAAGGCCACTGGTGCCTTTCTCTCACATCTTTAAGGTCAGGCACCACAGTCCAAAAACCGTGCTCCCTCTGGCCCAGTTGTCTGGGTTCAGGCTATTTCTAGAGCTCTGCCTAATTTGTTTCTTCTCATTCAGACTTTGCAAACAGAGGACGTGTTGCCCCCTGCTCCGCTCCATGGGGTAAAGCAGAGGTGAGCTGCAGAACTTTGCTGGGGTCCAGAAATGTGGCCCTTTTTGCCTGGCAAAGAGGGGGAGTGCTCGTCTCCCAGGGTGTACACTGGCAATATGAGAATGAGCTGTCACTCCTGATAAATTGTGCAGCTCTTCATAACATCATCTTCCTTCCACAGTCTTATGTGCTTTGATGTGTGGTGAAATAATTAATACTTTAAATGTCAGCACTGTTATCATTGGGTATCTGAGTTAGTCCCCATTGAGATGAATGGGGCTGAGCTGCTGTTTCGGGTTTTGCAGATGCAGACAGATGTCATGGCATCGGTTGCTCAAGTGTGAGAAATTGTTTCTTCTCCTGTTCCAGTGAGTCATAATCGCTGGAGAGTTGTATTTAAACTGAAAGCACGGGGTCTGCAGGGTAAGGAACAGTATCAAAGAGGAAGCACTGTGCCATAGTCTGCTTGAGCCTTGTCACAGATAAAACCTGGCAGACTGGGGGGCGTTCAGAGCTCTCCCCTCTGCTGACTGTAACAGTTCTGGTGGTAAAGCAGTTATGCAAGAGCGAGGTTTAGAGACTAACTGACAATTTAGTTTATTCACTAGATGGTTGCTCTTTTTTTGCACACACGATTTCATGCAGTGTTTTAAACTGTGGGAAATTCAAGAGACCCCAAAACACTTGATCTGAGAGTTGCTGAAGGGATTTTCCTGCACCTGAGTCCACTTTCTTGGGGGTTTCACTTCAGATATCTGATCTGTAGGAAATAATGAGCAGCCGACTGCTGTGTCAGGGCCTTTTATGGTCTCTGAATCCATGAACTCAAAAGCATTTGGGTATAATTTTGGCATATTTCTATGTAACACATAGATAAATCACAGCTGATCCAGTAGCTCTTTTCTCAGTGGAAATGCTGTTGGGGGGAAGCTGTTGGAACTTGCTGGTGGATTCTCTATCTTGCCCTTCAGTTGAAGAGGTGCCATTTACTTCCACAAATGTTGGATGCTGGTTTTTGAGAGGATTTCATGATTGAGATGTTTTTGTTTTAATGATGAGTGACGCTAGGAGCAGCCAATTTTGTTGCAAGCTGTACAGAAAACCTTTTGTGCTGGAAGACATAATATAGACATTGGTTCAAAATGGTTGAGTCCTTCTTAGAACAATTCAACATTGTTTGAGAAATGATTTGCTGCTGTTTATCAGAATGAAAATATCCGTGTCAATCCATTGGAAAAATGTTTGTTGAATAATAGCCAATTTTTTTTTCCTGAATTAGCATTTTGTATATTCCCATTAGCTATTTTTAGCAAAGTCTGTGTATGTATGTTTGAATTCCTATAGATTTTACATCGCTTTTGCTTAGCTTAAGATCTGTAACTTCACTGGTTAGACTTGTAATCAAGAAGAGACATGGCACAAAATGATATGTAGGCTCTTGAGAGAATTGGCCTATAATTCTCAGGATTATTGGCAAAAAACCCCTACCCCCCCAAAAAAGCCCTTTCCTAAATGGGATGTAGATTCTGTGGCAGTTGAAATGTGTATTATTAAACTCCTTAAGCAAACCAGAATGGCTCCCAGTGGAGAGCAAAGACATTCTAAGTATAGCCAAGACTAAATTCTCAGGTCTGGATTTTCTCTGCTCAATTCCCACTTGATTATCTCCTGTAATATTTAAACTTCGTGCCATGCCATAATTATTTAATAAAAAGTAAATATAAAATGTGTCTCAGTGGGGAATATGACCTTTTACCTTCATGTTGTTCTATGAGAGACAGGCACAGATAAACAGAGGGTCTGGACCAGGGTAACAGGCTGTCTCACTGGGTAGTTCCATCCTCCTCGTGTCCGAGGCGGTTTTCCTGCGAGGTGCTGGGGATGTTTGGGAGCTGCAGGAGGTGCCATCAGCACCTCCTGCACTTGGGGTTTCCTGTGCTGATGCCACTGCTCATTTAAAATACCACTCTTATTTTTCCAAAAGAAAGGCAAATGGTGCAGGAGGATGGAAGCCTCCGAGCGAGGATGGTGCTGATGGACTTAACGTTACTGACTGAACGTGCCCTGGTATAATGTGTCGTTTGAATTCTAATGCATTCGGAAGTATAAGGAAATCCTTAAATCCATACCTGTAACTGTGGTAGTAAACACTTGTAATCCTAATGGATTAGAGGCAGTCGAAGCCTTTGAGCGTGCAGAGTGGTACAATGACTTTTGGTTTCTGTATTAATGTGGAGTTTAATACTGACCAGTCAGAAATTAGATTCTTACTGCCATGATTTCACAGTACAGAGTATTTAAGGTGTCTGAAGTCTTAGGAAATCATCAGCAATGGCAGTGGGGCTCTGCCAGCTATTACTGACTGAGGATCCGGGTCAGAATATCTTGGTTTATCCACTGGAGGTTACCATCACCACAGTGAATGGCTCTGTGTGCACCCTGACCACACACCACTGTTGATGGTAATGTGCCTAATGAATAGCTGTGCCCCAGTTTGTGATGGCAAAATGTCAGAGGGGGTGTGGGGGGTGTGTGTGTCGTGTTTATTAGATGAGCAAATATGGTACTTTTCATTTCCGACTGTCTAATGAACACAGGGGAAGAGCTGTTGTAAGTTGTATTTGTACCATAACTTGTTTGACACAGGGAGTTTTGCCCAAAAGTAAATAGATTCATCCTTAAAGGGGTGTTTTTGTGGCAGTGCCTCCCTGCTGTATCTTTTAAATTACTCAGCCTTTGATAGATGATGAGAAATCAGCATCAGAAACTGATGTTTTAAGTGCAGAGGTTGAGATTTCTCTGCTCTCTTTCCAAACAAGCCAAAGTCACGAGTGTGACCCTTTGGAATACTTTCAGCAAGAAGTTTTGCAAACATCACTCAGCATTCACATGAATTTTGTCATTTGTATCAACATCCCTCCCTCTGGATGCATTTGTGGGACACTGGCAGAAACCAAGCCTGTAAATTGGGTTTGGTTGTGCCCACCAGAACACGCCAGCACAGGAGGGGTGTGCACGTTTATCCGTGCGTGAGCACACAGAATTCTTTCAGGGCTTAGCTGTAAGCAGAAAGATATCACTAATTGTGTAACAAATTACAGACACGCTGATGGATTGTCCGGGAGCACCATGCAGGTCATTACATGGCAACGGCAGAAACATCTGGACAACTAAACTGGTGGAGTTCAGGTACCAGGAGTCAGGGGGCCCGGTCTGTACAACAGCCCAGCATTAAGAGCTTGTGTGTCCCAGGTTTCCTCGTGGTAGAATAAGTCTTGTCTTTGAAAAGAGATTAGTGAGGGAGTAGCTTATTATTCAGCCTGTCGCATACACAGTGATCAGGGCTCACCTGAGCAGTGGGCAGTGACACCTCCTACGGACCCAGGCAAGGAGAGGTTTTCTGGGGAGTAGCAGTGAAACCCATCAGTCTTCAGTAATGAAATGTAGACAAAGATATATAGAGATACAGATTTATAGCTACAGACATACTCATATAATGTGGTGTTATTTTCCTGTTTTCCTTTCAGCTTTAAATGAACCTACCATAGATTATGGCTTCCAAAGACTGCAGAAGGTCATCCCGAGACATCCTGGGGACCCTGAAAGACTAGCTAAGGTAAAATAGCTTTTCACTGAGCTCACTAAATATGTTCTTTCACTTCTCTTAGAGACAAAATTGTATCTTAAATGACTGTTACATCTGAACATAAGTTCACCAATTAGTTGTAAGTCCAAACAAGAATGTGATTGTGTGGAACCCACAGCTGCCGGTAAGTTTTATCTCTTAGAGCTCAAACACTGGGTAGATAAAATGAGTGTCCAATGCAGGTATCTTCCCAGGTCATGTCCATTGTCCTTTGCAGTTATCCATATCACTGTACTGATGCAGCACCCAGCACAGTGTGTGACATTCCTGACTGTATTCCTTGATTTTAGTGCAGTACCAGAAGTACCAATTAATTACCCTCTTTGCATGATGAAAGACTATTGTATTCAGATATTTATTGTACTGTGTCGTTTTTTCCCTATAACCAGAGGTAACACAAGATACCTTCTAGCTCAAGTGGTTTGGTTGGTTATTGTTATTTAGAAAGCAGAAATGGACGTGGGGATTAATCAGTTTTTTATGTGTCTGTGCAAAAGAATATCCATCAAAATTGGGAAGGGAACAGTTCCTGTTTCAGTTGGGGATGTTGGGAAGTTCTTTCCCTCTCTGGAGGCGAGGGCAGGTTCAGGACCACGGAGAGCTCCCGATGAGCGGGAGCACAGGGCGTGCTGTGCGGTGCCGGCACGTCTCCCACCCCGGCCGTGCTTCCCAACGTGACCCGTGATGTTGGTATCAGGTTTGAGGTACTGCAGTGGGTTCAGTTTGTCAGATAAGTGGTAAATAACGGCTCTTGAAGGGCGCTGGTTTTCAGAATGAACACACACAAACAGCACTCGCTTCAGACAATGGGATCCGAGGTTTTATTTGCATTGAAATCCTTTTCTGTTCAAATATCGATGTTATGCATCTGCTCCTTCTCCAGGAAATGCTGTTGAAACGAGCTGCTGACCTAGTTGAAGCACTGTATGGAACGCCACACAACAACCAGGTCAGAAGGGCTCCTCAGCAGGGCACTGGTGCATGGCCAGGTTTGGTAATAAGCACTGGAACGTTTCTCCATGCACGTTTCTGACCTCGTCCCCTCGTCCCGCAGGACATCATCCTGAAACGAGCTGCAGACATCGCGGAGGCGCTCTACAGCGTGCCACGGAATCCCGCCCAGATCCCTGCACTCTCCAGCTCTCCCGCCCACAGCAGTATGATGGGAATTAACTCCTACGGCAGCCAGTTGGGAGTCAGCATTTCAGAGTCGACACAAGGGAACAACCAAGGTAAGTGCTGCGAGTGACGCACTGTTAATTTAGACAGTGAAACACTGAACCACAGTTGCACCACAGGAGTTCCTCAACTTCTCTACTGCGCAGCTCGTGGGCAGAAAGGTGGCTTTGACCTGTCTGCAATAGAACTGGAGGTGTGCTGCCATTCTGGATGGTGCTTTGTCTGTACCAGCTTCCAGGCACCACGTTAGCTGTGTGTGAAGTCATTTTTTAGTATTTTTTGGTACCGGCTTCACCCTGATCCTCCCCCTGCTCCCCACAGTAGGTTTTTTGGGGTGGTTGTGTCTGTGTTTTCATAAAAAACAAGGACAGCAACAGGTTAAACAGGTGGGGAATTCCCTTGTTTTCTTTTTAAGGTTGCTGCTTTGGTGTTGTTACCTTAATGTTAACTTGTGTATGTCGTATGATAAATATCATTGATCGACAGTTAGGAAAACACGCCATAAATGGTGTATTAACAGTAACACATCAGCTTTGGGTGTTTTTTGACTCTTGAATATTTGGATTTTGAGCACTGGATTCCAGTAACACGCAGTTTGTGGCTGACTGCAGGAGCAATGCAGTGTTTAACAAACACCCCACAGCAGTAAAACCATGTCAGAGGAAGTGAATAGTACCTTTGCTGTGTTGAAAGTCATCGTTCAGATAATTCTGCTTCTCTTAATAAGGTCTCACCAGCCCTGAATTGGAACTTCATAATATAAATGGGCAGAAATCACCTGGCTTGATATCTAAATGGTATCCGTGTTTAAAGTAGCTATTGGATCCCACCTTTCTAATGAAAGCTTTTCCATGGAAAAAAGCCTTTTGCAGCTGTAATAATAGCCTTGTACTTTAATGCTGGTGGCTGTGGTGTTCTTCAGGGCTCCTTTTGGAGAAAAGAAGAGGCTAAATTTTGATTCTCAAATATTTGTGACTTGTTTTTTACAGACAAAACTGGTTTTACTTACCCAGTTTATTCTTCTCCCCAAGTCGAGTATCTTATAGATACTTTATATATGTATATAAAAAATAGCTTCAAACTAGATCTAGTTTGTAATTTCCCGTTGGTAATGTACTTGCTTTATTTGTGATTCATTAATAATTTGAGAAGTATAATCTCCCCTCTAAAACAGTGGAAAATCCCACTTCCATTATGAATTCTACCTCAGAAAGGGAGAAGCACACGTGCTGCTTTCCAGGGCTTAGAACAAAGTTCAGTTTTTAATCAACTGTGATTAGAAAAATACACATCAGTTCACTTCAGAAAGTTAGTTTCCCGTGTTGTTTTAACACTTAATATTGCTTAACTTGAAAGCGTGTGCAGAACCCCCACTGAATTGAATGGCATTTCCTTAAATGTTTTAATGAATCTGGATTTAAATAAATCATTTACTTAAGCAGGGAATATACAGGAGAAAGTTTGGAGGTGAACCCATTGCCACGCTCTGCAACGTGTTCTCTTCCAGGTTACATTCGCAATACGAGCAGCATCTCACCCCGAGGTTACTCCTCCAGTTCCACACCTCAACAGTCCAATTACAGCACTTCCAGCAACAGCATGAACGGCTACAGCAACGTCCCCATGTCCAACCTGGGCGTCCCGGGCTCGCCCGGCTTCATCAACGGCTCTCCCACAGGATCCCCCTATGGCTGTACGTGCTTTGCTCCTCTTGCATTTGATTCTTGCTCCTGCTTAACTTCATTTACCACATCAGGAAACGCAGCAAGTGATGTCCTTCAAGAGAAGTACTCAAGATTTTGGGAAACCTTTGTAAAAGGTTCTGATTTGGGTTCTGGTATTTTTTAGTCTGAACTAGGAAGTGTTCCCATTTTTCAAGAATAGGTGAATACTGAATCCTACTCGTGTTTCCTTCATTTTTTTATCCTTATACGGATTCCAAAGTGGCAAAGGCCACAGTGAGAAAAAAGGTAGAGTTTGCAACTTCAGGTGATGAAGCAAGTAGCCATCACTTTTAGCACAGGCTGCTCTGAGTCCTGTGTAAAAGCACTCTAAAATAAGTTGTATGTGTATGAACTGCGTTATCACTCTGAGAGCTGAGCGGTGGATTAATTTTCTGTAGAACTGTATTACCTTGATAACCACAAATATAACAACAGTGGGATTCAGTTCTGGAATTTGGTACTGTCCCACTTCTAGTTACTAGTTTTACCATTTCCTTGCATGCGTTGGTTTTTCTCTGGCAGGAGTGTGTGTAATACATATGTACACACATATAAAATAATACGTTAAACAGCTGTTTACTTACTGAATTATTATTTAACTATTTACCTACACTGTAGCTCAGGGCGAGACTGAGATTTTCTTACAGAAGTAAAAAGAAGGGAGACGTCCTCAGCAGTTTTACCAAACTTCTGTGCCTGCATTTCTGGTAAGGGTTCACTTTTTCTTTTGCAGTAATGTCTTCAAGTCCGACAGTTGGCTCCTCCAGCGCTTCTTCCATCCTTCCATTCTCCTCTTCCGTCTTCCCTGCTGTCAAACAGAAGAGTGCCTTTGCTCCTGTCATCAGACCCCAAGGGTCTCCTTCTCCTGCCTGCTCTAGTGGCAATGGAAATGGGTTTAGAGGTAAGAAATGTACAATTAATATTCAGCCTGCACCTGTAAAGCACACAGTGTTAGCCTGGGTAAACACGGGAATCATCTGAACACCATTACACTGCTATTACAGGGCTGAGTAGTGGAAATCTGACCCGATCCAACTGGATTAGAGGGATGCTCTGAGCTTTGTCTGTTTGGTTTTAAAACAACAGGGGACAGACACTCATTTAGACCACGAAGGATTTGCCCCACGCTGCATTTCAGTACCAGATCTTTGGTGAGGAACAACTTCTCCTCCTTAGGCTTTAGGGACTTGTAAAACGAGTGTCTGCCCTGCAGAGTTACCACACAGCCCTGTATGTAACAGCCCATGGCTCGAAACCTGCTGCAAGGTTTAGGCTCATACAGGGAATTGAGCCCTATAGTACATTTACAGCCTTTTTAAAGGTGATCTGCAAAACAAATGTGAGTATTAAGATAAGAATGGAAACCTGTACTGAATTATTTCTTTTAACAGGCTGTGGGGGGGTGTGCGGCACATAAATATGCTCCAAGTCTCCATAAAAACAGCCTTTATAGGGCCTGCGAAGTGATCTGGCTCCTTCAGACTTCGCTAGAGATACCACAGAAAACACAACTCTGGGAATTCAGCCATGCCAAGAGCCAGTGGTCATTCCAAAATGAGCCCCACAACCTGCACCTGTTGATTTGGGTGCGTTATAAATCCTCAGCTGGGCCCCAGGGACGTACGTAGAGTGTGACCATTTTATACAATAAGGAAATTCTACGTGTGGTGAACAAAAACAGTTACATTTTTAAAATCAAACTTACAGAATTCTGAAACAGCTTCTTCCCCTGCCCCAGTGACACGAAACTGCTTCTCTGAGATCTCCTTCCTCTTCATGAAAGATGTTGATCTACCCGCGTAAATGCCCCGGTATCCTGGTGATGGGGAATAGAATTTCTTTTCCACTCTGTTTAAAGAAAGAAGATGAGAAGAAAGATATAAAGTAACTTTGTAAACTCTACATATAGAAAGTTTTGTTGGCCCAACAGTTGTAGCTGTTTATCTAAACTGGTTAGAAATGGGTTTGGTTTTGGTAAATTATTTTTTGGTGTCTAAAGAGTCATCATCAGTACCTGGTCTGATTTCGTGAAGCATTTACCTAGGAAGGGTTGTCAGCTTAACAACAGTTTGCTTGCTTAGCTTAAGCCAGTTGGACAGTGCTCTAATCTAAAGCCAAATCCGTGCGTTTGGAAGAGATTAAAGTCTGCTTTAATGTAGGCTTGCCTAACTGCTATAAAGTTACCTGAGGCAGTGCCAACCCCAAATCAGTTCAGTGAGAAACACTCTCATTGTTTCAGGGAAGACAGCAATAAACACAGATGAAAACAACCCTCTGACTTTTTAAGTAAGTTAATACTTTTCCTTAAACTTAGCACATTTGTCTTGGCTGTGCAGGATTCCACTTAGCAAGAGTTTATCTCCTTTTTAATCCTTTTGTAAGCAGGTAAAGTATTAGTGTTTATTGTTTATATCATATTTCCTCCAATCTATGATTAGTAATCAGTAAATTATTTTAAAAATAGAACTTTATAACATAAAAGCTCAAACCTAAAAATCCAGTCCTCACATCCATGTATTTCTACTGACTAAAGTCCACTCCTGAGGGGTTCAGGACTAATGTATCAGTTAAGGTTATGATTATTCACTGAGCTAGCTTAGGCATATAGAGGTGCAGAGACTCGGGCATAGATAAACCCATACACGTTATTAACTATATCCCTTTCTTTGTGGGATACTTCCTTGTATGTCAACAGCCTGATAAATACATATATTAATACGCTGTTATTTAAATAAGTTTCAGCACACACAGTCCACCAGGACTTGTCAGTCAGACTGCAACAACGAGCAACAACAGATGACTCCCAGCAAAGGCAGTAGTTGCTTTGCAGAGTAGATCCCGTCTGCCCACGTTTGCCATGCCAGGTCTTTGTAACTCTTTAACTGTTTCAGCCATAGATGCAAATTCTCCTTTCCAACTGAAATATTTAAATTGATGCAAGCTGGGGAGCACATGCTTTGGAAAGGATCCAGATACACAGAGCCTGATATCCAAATTAACGTTCCCACAGTGCTGACAGACAGATGTGGCCAGAAAGTCAACAGGAGGGTCCCAAAGAGGCTGCTTGAATGGACTTACTGGGCTGCAGCAATGGGAGGTTGTTAATCTCCTCGCTATGCCATCGCCTGGTACTGTAAGCTAAGAATAGATGAGCTGGTAATGTAATTTATTTACTTATATCTCAGATTTCAGCATCAGTAAATACTGATGAAGACAGAATAGCAAAAGTGCAGAGCAAGCAGTAAGTAGATGCAGGCTCCTTCCCAAAGCATGCCAGGCAAGTGGTTTGACGTTACTTCCATTTCCCCACCCTCCATAATATAGGGGAAAATCTCCCCAATGGGGATTATTTTACCCCAGTGTAATGTCTGCAATGTAATTTAGCTACATCTTTTGTTCAAAGGCGAGAGTTTCCTGGCGATACAGTCTCCATTCTACTTACTTACCACATCCGGTTGCATTAGAACTACATTACCCACACCTCAGGGTGTGCCACTCACAAGCAGCAATGAAAACCTAGACTATAACTTCCATGTATGTTAACCAAGAGGTGTTTAAGCCTGAGGTAAAACTGGTCTAAAGAGAAGGAGCTGTGCATGTACAAGCTTCATCCGCAGATTGGCATTCCCATTATTCCAAGCAGTTTACAGTACTGCTGGAATTTTTTTTCCAAAAATGTATTTTGGGAGGAAGGTCTTGGTGATGCTTAAGAGCTGCTGGAGACAGTCGGACAGCTGCTAGGGAATATCCTGTAACTCAGAAGTATTGGCTAAGCATGAAACCTGCCTATCTATTGGCTTTAGGCTGCACAACACAGCCGAGGACATGTGGGATACCCTCAGATAACCCCCTGTGCCATGTGTTCCTGCTTACCTCTCTCACCTGCCATCTGCTATCCATTCCTACAGTGTAGCAGGACATTATAGGTAGGGAACAAGCAGCAGTCCATACTGGACACCGCTCCAAATGGAGCGCAGGTGATCTTCATCACAACAGTTGTGTGCTCTGCTCCTGTCATGTGTCAAGGCAGTTTAAAAAAGGCACTGGATAGAAGGTGATGTGATGCAACACGGCATGCTAAGTACACAAATGCCCGATCAACTCATCTCAGATGGAAGGCAGCTGATGGGAAAAGCAAGCAAATTGGAAACTGCTGGAACAGCATGGACTGCTGAGTGCCCAGATTCCCTTTGGCCAGCTCAGCACATCGCAACATAAAAATGCAAGCTCAGTTACAAGGAATAGCAGGCAAGCCCCAGAAGGTCAGATGTTCCATTAACTGTCAGGATCCTGGCCAATCCAAAGGTATTGAAGTCTGATACCCTCAGAAACAGTTTAGCAAAGGGGACACCTGGACTATTCCCTAAAGAGATACAGGTATTTATATTAAAGATACAAGTATTTATATTGAATTACCGGTACCTCGTCCTGACCCCATTAAGGGTGTCAGCAGCATGGGGGGTTCCACTCTCCTTGCATTACAAGGCTGTACCAACAGGTAAAGAGAGAAACAAACAGTTGCTCTGAAAAGTTTGGAAGGGGTGGGATTCTCATGACCTGGCTTGTTCACACAACACAATGGTTCCTGACTGGTACCAGCGCAGTGCCTGACCTGCTGCTCTGTGTCAAAGCCCAGCTCCACTCAACACTTAACTCTTAAAATAACTCTTACCAGAGATTCTAACCAGGTAAAGTAACAGGGCCTGTTATTATATCAGCAACATGCTTCTGCCTGAATCAGAATGATTCCAGAGCCAAGACAGTGATTTAACGATGCCAAAGGCAGCAAATGCTGTGTACATGATGTTAATAGATATGAAAGATACGTATCTGCCATCTGATTAAATCTGATGTAGTGGAAGGATCAAGTACAATTTTCTCCCCAGTTTATTGGCAGAGATGTAAGCAGCACAGCCTGCTCCAAAATAAAAACCTTAAGAGCTATTTAAAACATCTTGCTAACACTTAACTGAACAAAAATATCTCCTGTTACTATTAATTACTTGTCTTTCATTTGATGGGATGTTAATTTTAGTAGCTCTTCATATGTCACAGACCTATTTGGGCTAGACAAGAGCTCCATTTTTAATGGGAGAAAACAAAAATCTGCCTTTTTTAATGGAAGAAAATACTCAGGACTGTTGGGTGTCCCCCCAAAAAAGGAGGAGATTGGGTAAGATTCACTGTTGACAATCTTGGAGGTGAAAACTTAGCTGCTTTCTAGTCTAATTGGAAGAACAGCTAATTGCAGAGTGGCTCTACACTCCTGTGTGCTTTAGTAATTAAACTAATGCATGTGTGACACTGCAAACACATCTTTTGATTTTAAGGGTGTTCCTAATTAGCTTGAACTAAATCACAGTGGTTGTTGAGGCAGCTTTTAGTGCCTACACAGCTTAGCACCATGGTGAGGCAGTAACTACATCAACACAACTCCACAGGTGAGAACACGTTGACTTCTCCATCTCTGAGCTATCAATGGTTTTATCTACACTGTTCAGAAACATCTTACATAAAAAATTGCTTAACCTGCTTGTTATCTAGAAGATAGAAACCCACTGCTTATTCATAAATATCTTTCTTACCTGCTTGTGGTTAGACACGGTGAGTGGATGAGTGACAATCTTCAGTCTTCCATCCAGATACAGAAGCATTGCTGCAAAAAAAAGTGGTACTTTCCTGGAGGAAAAAAATAAATTCTTTAGGAAAAACTCGAAGCTTTTGGCTACTTTTTAGTGTCTTAGTTGGAACCATCCTGCACAGGAGCTGGAATTTAGTTCACTTACATTCCAGTATAAAGGATGATGGTGCCCTTCATCCAAGCCACTGCTGGTTTTCTGCTCCGTGAAGGCCAGCTGGGTTTTCCTCTGGAAATCCTTTCTTCTCTCTATCATTTCCAGTTCCTTAGTTACTTAATAATAAATGATGATACTAAATAAACGGATGCGTGGTCTTAATATTGAAAGTAAGTCTGCACATTTTCTAGTGGTCATGGTGCTGGGGTTTGGCAGGATGGTGAAGCCCCGGGGTAGAGGCAGCTTTTATTAGACCAACTGACAGCTTGGTGGCTTGCAAAGTGCAACCCTCCCTTTACCTGCAGCCAGCTCACACATAGAGATGTTTCTGGTGTTGCAGGGCAGGAACATTCAGTTGTGATGCTCAGAGTAGCGCCACTGGAGCACTTTGTTCACCTCTTTAAAGAGCCGTAGAACTGTAAGACTGGAGTTTGCTGGAAACCTAGTGCCAAAAGACAAAAAACAAATGAGAAAGCAATGCTTTTTATGTGACAGTAAGTGCTCAACACCCTTCTTCTCCAGAAAGCATAGTTTTAAACCAGGTCAGAATTTAGGCACCAACAAACCAGCGGTGATAGCTGAAGAACTAGCTCAGTGTGTGCACACATGTGTATGTGTGTACATGTGTCCGCTTCTTACCAAGCAGCTCTTTGAATTGCAGAGTTCTTTTCCACTACAAAGCGAGGCAGCAGTTTTAGGGGCTACTTGTAAACACCAGCCCTGTGATGGTTATTAATTACAGCCATTAAAGGTGCCCATCACCAGAGCATCTGGGTACTACCCATGTTGGATTATTTATTTATAAAAAAATTCTCCAACCTTGTGACAATTTTAATGAAGTGTTTCAGTTGATAATTGCAAGCTGTCAAGGTTAATACAATAAGGCTCATCTCTAATTCTTTTTCCATTTCCCTCCAAGAGAAAAAAAAGACCCTCTGGGATAATGACTGTGGTTTCTATATTCCCAACTCATCAGGGAGTGTCCTGCATTGAACCACCTTTATTGAAAAGTTACATCGATTCAATATATAGTAATACAGGCAAAAATAATTACAGCTTTGCTAGCAGTGTAAGACCTTAATCCAAACCTCACAAACATTCAATAAAAAGCGATACAGGCTGGGAATAGGCTTTTGACAGTGCAGCCCCAAAGGGGAGTGGAGGTGGGGTGGAAATGGACAGATGAGGGTATGTAAAAAGAGAGAGAACCACTGAGCAAAGCCGCTCAGATGAGCTGGGGAAAACCAGGTGAGAATTCCAGCCAATATTCCTCACCCTCCTTGTTCTTTGTTGCAGAAGGAGGTGAAGTTGCAACCTGAGGATGAAATGCCAGTGAAACAATTACCTTTTGCTTGTCCTTTCTATTTTAAGTTAGAGTTTTACCTGAATTTGCCCAGTGGCAGGTTCCATCTCCACAGCACGTACAACCTGGAGGGAGAAAACAGACTTGGGCTGGGAGGGCTAAAGTAAGGAAAGGAAAGCAAGGAGGGGAAAGTAGGGACCTGGTGTTTGCTCAGGAGGAGGAATGGAGGCAAAAAGAAGGGTCACCAGAACCCCCTACAGGGGTGTAACACACTCTTCCTGATTTCAGGAATGCATCACTAGCTGGAGTCCAGGACTGCTGCAGAACAGAGCAGCTTCAGTTAAACAGTAAAAATGTACTTTCACTTACCTGTGAGGAACTTTCCAAAATGATGCATCTACTCGTGGTCTTCAGAGAGTTTTGCAGAGACATGGCAGAACCTCAGGCTTGGTCCTTGCTTTGATCTGCTGGAAGAAGTTTTCCTTGCTTAAAAAAAATGAAAATCATGCTGGTAACAATAGGATCAGGAAAAGCATTTGTGCCGAACGTGGGCTATTCCCCTTGGGAACAGCCCCTGCGTGGCTGGATTTAATCCATGCTCCCAGTACAAGGCTCTGCTGCCTCTGCACAGACAATCTGACTGGCCACAGTCTGACTCCGGCTGTTCCAGAAGGGAAGGTGACCACAGGTACCACCTCTGGAACTGCTCCTATGTTTGCTGTAGGCAAAGGTTACCCCAGAGACACGGTTTCAATCCTCTGAGTGCAGCTGGATCATCCTGCCTGTCACAGACGAGGTGGAGCTCACACAGACACACACGGGATACCTGCGGATGGTGGGGGGACACTTACTTACCTCTGCTTCCAGCCCTGTGGAATCCAGAGGAGGGCATCAATCCAGGATTTAAGCCGAGTTTTCTTTCCTAGGGGACAGAAAGGGAGGCATGTGGTTAACAGACAGGGAGATGGCTCCAGTGCCAGGCTGAACACTACCCTTAAGGTCATGGTTTAGTTTGGGGAGGAGGAGGAGGAGCAGCTTCCTCCTTGGTCTTAGCAAAAAATCTTTCTTCTTCTAATGCACCCCCAAAACAGGCATACAAATATTTACCTGCTTTATTTGGGCTCATGTAAATTACCTGTTTGAAAATTAACAGCAAATTCCTAAGCAAGTAAAAAATCAGCATTCGACTGAAGGTGCTTTGGTTTCACTTTCTCTTTCAGGGATCTGCCAAAACTGGCCGGGATTCCAGCCCTCCTCACATAACGAACTATGAAAATACTTCTTTTCCTATTGTATTAAATCCCAGCCCACGTCCCCAGTTGTTTAAAAACACAGCTCCAATAAAAGAGTCATGTTAGCTGAGGAGCTTGCCCCAAGCGCTTTTTTAACCACCACGAGCACAAGGGTGAAATCAATTCCCAAAGGACAGGGCTTTAAACACATGAATAATCCCACAAATTTCAGTGAACATAAATCTTTGCAGGATTAAGACCTTGCGCTGCGCCGAGGCCCCTTTGAAAATATGACTCACTCATTTGTTATATAAATACATATAAACTTAACTTACCCCTCAGAACCTCTGGGAACAGCACCAGTTCCAGGCAGCTTCCAATTTGCTGGTGTCAGTTATGAAGGATCCAGCTGCAATTAGAGGCAGGGAGAGTGACTAATAAATAATTTCCATAAGCCCAGTGTTTTGGGAACGTGCCAGGGAAGAACTGCAGTGGGTCAGGCATGGGGTGAACAGAGTGAGAAAAGGCTGCTCCGTTAGTTCCAGTGGAAGGGGATTAACAAACCCAGCTCTGGTCATTGTCACAGGAATGAGGACCTGCAATTCCCTGGTGAGGTCCCATGAGCAGCACGTGGGCCAATTCCCACTTGCTTTCCCATCTTCCCTCCCTCACAACATAATCCCTCTGCACACAGGCTTTGTGGGAAGTGAAGCCCAGAACTGAGCAGGGTCCTGAGGAATGGTTTGGAGTGTTCAGGCTGAGGTAGCATGGGAAGTCGGAATTCTTGAGGGTGGTTCTGGACAATGTCCATCTCCAAGGACATCCCTCAGGAGATGAGCACCCAAAAATGGGTTTGCGTTTCCAGAAATTCACCTGTGAGGCTTGAATTGATTTATCCATTTAAGACCCACAACAGGTCTTGGCTTTTGGTATATTTGGTGGGAACAGCACATAGTCCCTTGTCCGTGGTCACTGTCAGTGTCACCACCCCAGTTCTCTCTAAAGCATAAACCCATTAAAGCAGCTGAGGGTCAGGTTTAAGCCCAGATGAGGCCGTGGCTGTGCACAGAATGTTTGGAGGGCTCAAATGTATTTTGTTCCTTACAAATTTGCCAGAATTTCACCTTTGTCACTTTTCTCTTTCAGCCATGACTGGGCTTGTCGTTCCCCCGATGTAAGGAAGAGGCAGTTTTGCTCCTCTCCCTCTTCCCTTTTTTCCTCTTTTTTGTTTTCATTTTTCTTTTACAGCACAAAACTACTTATTGTGATGGACCACTAAAAAGAAAATAATAGCACTACAAGCTCTTTTTTTGGGGAAAGCCAGGCCCAGGAGAGAAAAAAAAAGGAACATTTTTTATGGACTGGACAAGACAGAAGTTGCATCTTTTACCTGTTTCATATTTGTGACACAACCACGTCAACTCCTAAAACATTGTGAAGGAAGAATCAGCCACGAGCCGGGATGAACAACGGTTGCCCGAATGGAATCCGAAATGCGAAATCTTTCCTGAAAGACATGAAACCTTCCTGAGATTTGTAAACTATGAGAAGGAGAAAGAAATTGGCAAAATGATTCAAGCTTGATATTTTGGATACAATTTGTTTTACTTTGTAGGGGAAAAAAGTTGAAGTTTCTATTTTCTACGGAGCCTTTCAGATATCGATTTAGTTTATGCAGAAAAAAAACAATTCAACAAAACAGGGTACCAGCATGAAAGAATTTCTAGGACAAACTGCCATGAATGATGGAACTTTGGTGTATGTGTGTATTTGCTTATAGTTTAACCTCTTTAAAAAAAATGTAAGATGTTTTACAATTATTTAAATAAATAAACTTGTAACTTATTGTATGTAGAGGTAGAAATTAAACCCTTTTTTGGATATTTTTTTCCCCTCCAGTTGTACAATGAAGAAAAATGATGCAAAAATGTAGTGATAAGTTTGAGATATATTATTACCGCTGCGATTGCTCCTCCCTGGTCCCTCCGACTGACTCCATGTGCAAGGATGTACAGAATTCCTTCTGATAAACAAAACCATCAGGAACTTTTACATCCCTTGTGGTCTCCAGGTTGCTGGTTCATGTATGAATTTGCATCCTCCTCGTTTTTCCCCCTTCCATTTTTGGTTTCAATTCAAATATTCAGGTACTAAGATTAACTGCTAAGTCTCAAAGACCCTCCTGGCAAAGGAATGGCCCAGAGGGATCTGAATGGATCAAATTTGTCATGAGGTACTGAGTGTGTTTTATAGATTCAATGTATGAGGGAGAGGGTTGTGCAACATCCTGTTGTTCCATGTAGTTAGAACACCTTAAGTTCAGTTATACTCCATATTAAGGGTGCATTTATAAGGGTAAATATGTATTGGAATAATTTATGCACTTTTATCCTGAGTCATTACAAATGGTAAGTATTTTCCATTTATATACTGAAGTTCATAGAAGTAATTGATTGCTTTGAATTTTTATGCATTTTAGAGTAAAAAGATAAAGTTTTGTTCTCCTTCTCTCCTGAAATTGGAAGGTGAGAACAAGGCTATTAAAAACCCATCACTTGTTACCTGACTAAACCAGAGACCATTTGAGAGAATCTGATTGTTGGAAAGGTGCTTTTAAAGGAAAAAAATCAGGCACTCAACTTACACCCCACTAAAAGACACACGATTCCTACCTGCATGAATAGTTGTTCCTATGGTAACATCTTTATGTTAATAAATAAACCCTTCATATATGGCCCCCGAAACTGTCCTTGTCCATGTGCCCGGTAGTTTTATGGATGGGTAAGTAAAACAGTATTCCTGGTGATCCTGATGTGTGGGAGATAATGTTCAGGGCTGGACCTGAGATGGTGAAGAGCGGGGACAAGTCTGAGGTGATCTGGAGCCTGTTTGGAGTAGCAGTAGAGTAGGAAGCTCCTCTCTAGACCTGTGGTTCACATCTGGCCACAGAGATAAGTGACAAGATGCTGGGGGGTGGGGCGGGACCCACACACCATGGATAGGCCTTGGGTGCAGGGATGTGTTGTGCCAGCATGTAACATCAGCCCCTTGAGTAGAGCATCTCCATTTTCACCATGGAGTGCACGGTTCAGCTCATGAGAGAAATGTATTTAACACACATGAAGATGCACAGGGTGTTTCTTAACCAGGCTGGGTAGACAGTGGAACTGGGTCACTCCTGTCATCCTGACCCCACAGTGAGGCCATGGCTTCATTAGGTGCCTCTTCAATGTGACTGAATTCAGTTTCCAAAAGGTGGAGGGGGTTTCTGTCTTCTACAACCCAAGGCCCAATTTGTCGTATCAGCAAAAAAACAATCAGTAGCAACTTCAAAGAGACATGTGGTGGGAATAATGTGTTTCTAAGCAGCATGAATACAGTTAGTCAGGGCCTTGCAGTCAGGCTCCTGAAAGCACCTGCATTCCAGAAAAGATGAACTAAAGTAACTCACCGTTAGCTGAGGCTCCAAGGTCATTGATGGCGCAGGTCCCTGCACGCCCTTCAGGCCATCAGGATGTAGCAGGCCCTGGAGGTCAGCAAGGAGCCCCCCTGGAAGCCAAGGGATCTCTGAAATAGGAAAGAGTTGCAGGTTGTGAGCAGTTGGTCCTGCTGCACCTTCATCTTTGATGGCACCACAGGGTCTAACCTGGGCATTGCCATTCAGAGCAAGACGTAAAAGAACACCAGGAAGAGTTTTCCATGCATTCCTAGGTCCTGATGTCCCAGCCAGGCTGAGTGGGATGTCCAGGTTCACATCTGCAGTTCTGCACGCACACAGGGGAAAAACCAGATTGAGGATTATTAGAGTTGGGAGTGAAACTTCCATAAATTTCAGTCAATACTACACTGAATCCCAGATTTCCAAACAATCTTCTGATGGACCAGGCTCATTTCTGATGTCTCAGCTCCCTCCCTCCCATTCTGACCCACTAGAAAACCCCAAACAGCTCCAAAGCATCAGGAGGGTGGATCTTCCCCCCTGCTCTGTACAGGCCACTTTTGAAAAGTTACTGTCTCTTTGTATACTCAAAATTCTATGCCCAGCAAATATTCCAGGTAGGAATTTCTGGCCCACGTGCTCCCTTCAATCCTCCCACAGCTTTTAAGCAAGACTTGTATTTCAGAATCTCAGTCAGGAAGGTTTTCAATTTAAAAAGTGGAACATTTCCTGGAAAAAGCCATTCTGATTGTTGTCCACCTTCTTTTTCACTCTTGCTTAGTGAGCACAGGCGCTTAGCAGAGCTCACTGATGTCTTGGGAAGATTTGGGGTAAACCCAACAGGAAAGGGACGGTTCTGAAACGCTCAACATCCCCTTCACACTGGAGTTACTTCTTTTGGCTCCATCCAGTTGCTCAGGTGAGGGCCCAAACACAGGAGAAAATCTCCCCAGAAAGCTACTTCAAGTACAGGAGGAGAAACCACTGTGTCTGCCTGTGTAAATGTGGGAAACAACTTCGGTTTGACCTGAGCCAAATGAAAACCATTCAACCAGCAATGACTTAGAACATGAATTTGGCTCATGCATGGAAGTCACTGTACCTGAGCTGAGCGTAGAACTTCCTGGTAGCTTTACAAAGAGAAGTGTGTGTAAATAACTACAATCAGAAATCCTTGACCATGGAAGGACTTTAGCAGTGGCAAAGCACCCAACGAAAGGAAAAGTAATGTAAAAATCAACGTGTAAGGGTTTTCTTCCAGTGTAATAAGCAAATCTGTCCTCTTTTAGTTATTGCTGTTCAGTATTTCCTAACAGCTTTCCTTTTTGCCGCTAGAGGAATGAAAGTGTTGCAATAGGTAACTACACATTTCATCCTACCTTTGGAAGAGTATGTTTTGATTCATTATTTATCTTGGTGTAGCATCTTACTCTCCCTCTTTCTTTGCACACCTCCAATATGCATGGTTTTGAAAGACCATTTTTGCCCTCCTGTAAATTAAGGCCTCATTTTTCCCTCCTGTATAGTTTTGGGGTTCGTTTGGGGTTGGCTGGTTGTTCTGTTGGGGTTTTGCTTTGTCAGTTATACACGGTCTGAAGTTGCTATGCACAGAGCTTTTGTAAAGATAGCTTTTTTTTGTTTACTGTTTCTAATGGTCCTACTTATGGAAGAATATCTTGTTTGTAAAATGAATATGTCTACTTCCGTTTGAAACTTTAAATTATCCTAACAAAAATAAAATTTTTGTACTGTAAACAAGGGGGGGAATTATCTTAATTTCCGAGCATTCCATGGGCTTTATTCTTTATCATCTTTGTGTCTTGTTGTGGCAATAACACTTCAAAGAAGGGCTGCTTTAGTGACATGGTTTGGTGGTGGACTTGGCAGGCCTGGGGTAACGGTTGGGCTTACTTGATCTTAAAGGTCTTTTCCAACCCAGTTGATTCTATGGTTCTACATGACCGTGTTTCAAACCAGACCTCCAAGCTTGTGTGGAAGTGTCCACCTGCAGTTTGGTAGAGCCAGAAACAAGCCTGTGCTGGTCACAGGACAGGGCAGTAACAGTCCCTTCTGACCTGGCCTTTCCTACACCTGATTAGCAAAGTGGCCAAAACCTATGTGAGAGTTTAGACCTTTTAGGGGAAGGAAGGAGTCAAATGGTGGGATAGCGGCAGTGTCCTGTTGGGAAACCTCCCTTTTTTGTTAGCGCTCTCCAGCTGTTTGCCCTCCCACCTTCCTTTCTGCCTTTGCAGGTCTGCCCTAGATGGCTGTTTTGTAAGAACCTGAATTTCACTCCAATAACAGGTGAAACAACAGCCACTTACTGGGGCAGTGAGGGACTTGTCAGACCTGGTGAAGCATTTCTCTTGGTGACAACACATTGCTGCCGAGGTGCAGAGATCCAAGGCTTTAATTGTGCTGGGTTGTTCCGGTAGGAATGTCCCATTAACTCCGCTCGCAGGACTGGATGAGCTGCTGGTGGCTGCAGATGCTGCTGAGCAAACAGAGTGTGGGTAAGAGGAATGGGAAACCCAATACTTCCCTCCTGACACAATGGCAACCACAACCCTGTCCCACGAGGCACTGTGGGAGGAGGAGGAAACGAGGAGCTCTGAGGCAGAAGCTCTTCCCTGTGAGGGTGCTGGCACAGGGTGCCCAGAGAAGCTGTGGCTGCCCCATCCCTGGCAGTGTTCAAGGCCAGGTTGGACACAGGGGCTTGGAGCAACCTGCTCTAGTGGAAGGTGTCCCTGCCCGGGGCAGGGGTTGGAGCTGGAGGAGCTTTAAGGTCCCTTCCAGCCCAAAGCAGTCTGGGATTCTATGCTCTGCTGTCCTGCTTCCCTGGCATTTGGGAAAGTTACGGCAGTAACAGGAAAAGACACGGGAGTGACAGAGCACAAGCCTGGCCACTGCCAGCTCCTTTTCCAGGGGGACATGGGTGGACCATGCAATTTTCTTTTTGGTCTTCTGCGAGGTCTGTAGCATACAGACCTACAGTGTACTCATCCCTGTTAATTCCTGTCTGTACTCCCAAACTCAATCCAGCGTGGACACAGGCTGTGGCCACGTAGTTCTGAATATGAGTTAGTAACCAGGTCTGTGATGAGGAGGTGAAAGCTCTGATCTTACCACCATTAAAATCAGCAATAGCTTCAAACCCACCGTCTGCAACACAAGGTTTTAGTAAATGTGAATGGCTAGAATGGGTCAGAAATGCTGAATGCAACAGCACTTGAGGAGCAGCGAA